TTGAGAGCTGAACTGTAGCAAGAAAAAAATTCAGTTAGAGCTAAATTATTTAGTTATTTGTTAGAGCTCAGTAATTTTAGAGGACTTTCTTGAGTTACTACTGTTCTCAAGAAAATGTGATGTGCTTTGCAGTAAGTGGAAAAAATTACTACAAAATAATTCTCTGACTTTAGTATATAGTGGGAGAAAGGAGGTTTTCTAAGAAACATCGGTGTTTTTCAGATAAGGCAGAAAATAAATTTCACAGTAAAAAGTGTAAAATATGTGTTTTAGGGGCAAGATGATCCAATCTATTTCGTGCATATTGAGTTTGATTTTCCTGTAGATTTGCTGGGATGCTGCCTATCAGGCAGGGGGAGAATTGGATCCATGACTCACAAGAGAGGTCTAGACTGCAGCTAGAAGATTGAGAGCTGGCCACGTGCTGTTATAGTGGACACTGTGGAGATAGAGAATAGAACAGAGTCAAAATGAAAGAGAGCAAAAAGAGCTGCTAGTAAAGACAGGAGTTTCAGAGAAGAAATGAGAACATTTTCAAGAAGATGAGAGTTAATAATGTCAACTATTGCAGAGGACTTACACTGAAAAAGGGCCCTTGGGTTTGGTAATTATGAAGTTTTGGTTACTTGTAGGACTGTGGAGGCAGAAGTCAAATTGTAAAACAGTAAGTCAAACAGTAGCCATAAGATTTATTGACCACTGCCAGGAGACACCAAGAATTATCTTTTGCTGGGGACTGTAAATATAGGATATACATATGCTTGTTAAGGACACTTTGCTTAAATCTGATGGATGTGCTTTATCCACCTTAAGGCACCACGTAATCCTCTATAATTCTGTGACTCTGAAATCCTATTGTCAATTATAGTATTGGCCACCTGGTAGTTATCTGTACATAACAGATGGTTATTTTGCCAAATTTAATTACTGCTTATCATTTCATGTTAACAGTTTGTCATGGTCCACTGGGAGAAGAGAAATCTGTAAGGACAGTTTTGCTCTTTGTTAATCCAAATTTGCTTTTATTCCTGTATTTGAATAGAAGTCTAAACTTTTGGTTTGTATGTATAGCCTGGAGACATATGGACTGCCAATTGTCACAACTGCACCTGTACTGATGCAAAGGCAGTAGACTGTACACCTAAGGAGTGCCCTTCTTTACCCACATGCACAACTGGAGAGAAGCTTGTAAAGTTCAGATCTAATGATACCTGCTGTGAAATTGGATACTGTGGTATGTATTCATAGTACATTATTTGAATTGACTCTATTTATTGTTTACTTACTCACATAATCAAGAAATGTTTTTTGAGCAACTAATACGTATCAAACACAATACTGAGCAGGTGTGATAAAACATAATTATTACTTGCTTTCTTACAACTTACTATTTTTGGAATGGGGCAAATCCAGAATTAACAGTTACGAATATTATCAGATTAAAGGGAGATTATGGCATTATGGGAAGAAACATTATAATTAGTTGATAAGTATAATCTCATCTATAATTTCTGTTTCATAAGTAAAAAAAATTAAACTGTTTACGTTAAAATAAAACAATGTATTTATTTTTCAGAACCGAGAACATGTTTTTTTAACAACACTGACTACGAGGTAAGGTCTTTTCTTCTTTAAAATATTTTTATGAGTATAATTATATGAATAAATGCAGTGCTTAGCTACACCAATGGTCTTTCAGCTTATAATATGGAAAAACAAAAACAAAAACAAAAAACATTCGTAATGAGGGAATAGAATCTGTTCATTTTATTTCCATATGCATTTCCAAAGGAACATCAAATATAACACTCACCATGGCTTTCTTCAAAGGCGGAAAATATACTTGATCATTAACTACCCAGCAGTGGAGCTTCTGAACAAAATTTCCCATGGGCTTTGCCAGATGGAGAAGACATATTCTGTAATATTCAAATCAATGAACAGAGTTAAACTGTAATTATAACCAGAAAGATCAGATGGCTAAACTGTCAGAGATCAAATAAGAAAACCCAAAAGACTAGAACCCCATTATGCTAATATAGCTTCTCAGTATATTCAGGGCTGGATTTTGACAACGGATGTAGCATTTTAGAGAGTGATTTAACTTTTTAGAAAAAGTATCAGAAAGCCATAAAAGTCAGATGATTCTCAAATTGATATTATTAACACTTGAACTGCTGATACTAAATATAAGAATATCTAAAATATATGTGGTATGTTAGGAAATACATAAAACAGAGCCTATGAGAGTATTACTTTGATATCCCATTTATTGACACTCAAATTTCCACCTGGGCTTCTTAATTTTTAGTTTACAAAGTTGATCTGACTTGAGAACCTATGATAGTTTTTTAAATATGATGATGTTTAATGAACAAAAGGAAAAATTTCCTCTAATCATTTATATGCAAAATAGTTGAAATAGTAAAAATTCAGTTACCAGGAAGTTCATCTTGTGTTCTGAGCCTCTGAAATAAATATTGTTTCTGAAATTGTTTGAATGTTGAACATAAGCTACTTATAAACCAATCTAGAGAGATTTAAAAGTATAGGAACACAAGCAAAGAAAAAGTAAGGCATCTTGTGAGGCTTGCCATTTGTTCTAATCTGATAAACCTATATGTTCCAATTTTATTTTCCACTTAAATTTCTTATTTGTTTCTGCAATCTTATAGCATAAGCAAAGAAAAAGTAAGGCATCTTGTGAGGCTTGCCATTTGTTCTAATCTGATAAACCTATTTTGTTCCAATTTTATTTTCCACTTAAATTTCTTATTTGTTTCTGCAATCTTATAGCAAACAATTGGTAAACTGCCTGATCTCCATAAAATAAACTTTCTTGAAAAATTCTCAAAAAATACAATAGAGTAACTGTTAATGAATCTTAATTTGATGATTGAGAATCTTGACACATTCTGTGTTCCCAGTGAAGAACTTTGATTTAGTGAAGGAAGTATAAGACTTTCTTCAAACCACCTTTTCTGAAATATAAAACTAATGGTCAATGGCCGAAAGTGCATCTAGAAGTCACTAAATGAATTTGAACTTTCTTTTTTTACGAGTTTTATCGTCAACTTCAACAAGAAATGAAGGCAAATAATTATTTAGTTTTTCCCCCTCTTTACCTTCCAGATTGG